CTACTGCATTTGCCTTTACCCTACACACACACACAAACACACACACTCATACAAACACACACACACACACACACAAACAAACACACACACAAACAAAAACACACACACAAACAAAAACACACACACAAACACAAACAAACACACACACACACACACACAAACAAACAAACACACACACATACAAACACACATACAAACAAACACACACACACAAATGTTTGTAAGTATAAATAAAAGTTATATTGAAATTTTAGTTTTATTTAAAAATCACAAAATGCTTTGGAGGGGGGTCTCCTTTTGGGGGGTGGGGTCCTCCCCCCCGGGGGGGGGGTCCCTCTTTGGGGGTGGGGTCCCCCCCCCTTTGGGGGAGAGGGTCTCCCCCTTTGGAGGGTTCTCCCCCCCTATGGATGGGGGGTCAATCCCCACCCCCCAGTTCTGAGGGACATAGTCCCTTTTCTTGGAATTAGGCTTGGCCTTAAGATCACCTCCATAGGTTCCTAGTGACTGGGATACTGAAAACAGTTCATCTCACCCTATGAACCTGTGAAGGACACCTAAGACTTCTTTCATACTAGTGTGGTTTTATCTCTGATCTTAGATATCAATGGATTTCTAAGACAGGAGATACAACAGCTCCTGTGAAAGAAGTCTTAGGTGCCCTTCACAGATTCATAAGGTGAGGTAAACTGTTGTCAGTGCCCCAGCCACTATGAACTGAGAGGACACCTTAGACTGAGCCTAAGATGAGAAAAAAAGGGGAGTCCCTGAACCTGGCTGATGCCAGGTCCGAGGGCCAAGGTTCTCCCCTAAGAGGATCCTGACTCCTGGAACCACTGGACAAACAAGCATGCTGGTCCAAAAGCCAATCACCTCTAGGAAGAAGCCCCCTGACCCCAGCTCAAAAGGATAAAAAAAATGGTACCAATCTGCTTCAGGACCGGCTCTCCTTGTCCTAGGATTCAGTTTATCCTTGAAGAGGCACGCCTGAAGATCCTTAAAAAAAAAGGGAACCTAAGCAGCCTAACGCTGACACCTAGATACAGCAATTGCTGCTCCTAGGGCCAGTCGCCTCCTCCAGGAAGCTCCTTATCCCAGATACAGAAATGTCCGAGCCATAAACCCAGAGTTATAATGCTCCGAGAGTAAGGTACTTCCCAGAACAGACTTCTGACCCCCGCTCTAAAGGGGTAGGGGAAAGGGGTTCTGATGCAGTTGATGGATGAAATGCCCTTCATGTTGGGGTCAGCTGCAGTTGATAGATGAAACTATGGTGGTGTCAGATGACTCTATATGGTTGGCTCTGATAAACCTAACCTAGGATGTGGAAGAAACGAAAGAAATAAATCAAGTGCAGATTAAGTAGTACAAATCATTACTTCAGTCTAGTCTACAGTCCTCCCTCACTCTTTTTCTGCTTCAGTACAATAAGTCTTACATTCTAGTCAAGTTTTCCTCACTTATACATTACTTCAGCACAGTTTTAATTCACATCACCAGCCTTTTCTCTTGCTCATATTTCAGTATTGTCTTTAGTTACGGTATGCATCCAACAGCTTTCCCTCCTTCACTGTAATACTCATCAATCATATCTCCGGCAGTTTCCCCTATCCATTAATTTAGTAAAATACAGCCATTCCTTTCAATTAACTTTAGTAGTCTGAAGTCATACAACAGGCAATCCCTCACTCTGTACTGTACCAAGGAGCTATCTTTCATCGTAATGATCAACGGAAAAGCAAGAATTTTAATCCTTAAAAAAATATTATACATACAGTACAGCATGCCCTTAAAATTCGTGGAGTTTGGGTCTCAAAACAGCCATAAATTGCCAAATCCACGAATATCATTTGCTGATGGGTTGGGGGGAGGTAAATTTTACTTGTGTGCAAATAAATGTATATTCCCTTCAAGTGTTTGCCCTAGGACAATTACAGTGAACCTTCAAAAATCAAAACTAAAAGGAGGGACCAGCTGTAAAAATCTTCCAGCAAATGTACTAAACGTATAAAAACGATAAATAATTATATAAAAAACACCTAAAATACATGACATAATATCCTAACCACTGGGGATAGTTATACAGACATTTCCTTGTGAAAAAGCCATAATTTTCAGCAACATATAACTGTACTCACTTTGTACTCAAATGTACTTGGCTAAAGGACTAAAAAAATTATCTCTAGTGCAAACTGTGAGATGTTTATACTCAACTTCATTGCTATCTTGCAAGGATTCCAGCAATGCAAGTTATAAGCCAAAAAACACCTTTACGGAAAATATCCTATCACCTTCTAGCTGGGGGGAGGGGATGGTGGGGTGGTTTTTCAGGAACAGAACCCTTAGAAACTAGGGAATGCCGGTAGAACCTTCCTAATATTACAACCAGAACAATATTAAATAAATACCAGATAGTCCTTTAGGTCTACTTTACTTGCAGGTCCAGTAACATCAGGTTTAGTTAACTTTAGTTCCAGTTCACCTGAGGTCCAGCTCACTGCAGGTCCAGTTAACTTCAGGTCCAGCTCACTTTAGCCTAGTTCACATCAAGTCCACTTCAGGCAGTGAAGGAGAAAGTAGTTGAAAATATTACTTAAGATAAAGTACTGCACTGTTACTATGCAAAAATTAAAACATGTACAAAGCAGCTTTCTTCAAAATTACTTAACTAAAAGTTTATTTAACTGAAGTGAAACAAAGTAAAAAATAATAGTACTGCATGTCTTTCAAATTTGCAGACCTCGATTCTTGCGGATGATACCCTGGATGTAACCAAGCTTGTCTAAGGGTAGTTTTAAAGTTGCTGGCATTTTTGCAGCCTGGACAGGGAGCTTTTTCCTTTACCTGTATTGTATATATGTGTGTAGACACACATATATACAATACAGGTATAAGAAATAATTGTCCTTAGGGCGAACACATACATGGAATATACATTTTCTTGCACACAAATAGAAATGCCCCCCGAATTTGAAGGGCATGCAGTATTTGCAAGTATCATAAATGATTAATGATTAAATTCTGCTTTGAAAATGAGCTAAATGTCATTAATATACTTAAAAGTAAACAAAATATGACTGAGAAACACTTTGTATTTACAATCCACATTGGGTTAACTTTTAGTTGAGTTTCAGCAATAACTAATGTTCATATTTCTTGTGGCACACCAGGGCTGGAATATCAGTTCATCGCAGGTGTTAGTGATTTTATGCTTTTACGATACACTAAAACACTAACAAGAAAGTTACATCAACACTCACAGTAATAATGTGGCAGTTGCAGCTGACTAACACATGTGATGAGAGAACAATAAGAAATAAACAAAGACAGCCTCATTAAAAAGTACCTAGGGAGGACAGACTGAGAAATGTTGTGGACTTTATATAAGAGTTGCACATCACAAGTGTAGCTTTAAGTAATACTTGTAACCCAGTGAGAACAAAACCCCAAATACGTGGGAGTAACTCTACTAACACTCGAGGCTCACGCTCACAGCCTTCAAGAAGGACAATATTAGAAACTGAGCCAATTAGTGTTGGTGCAAGAATGACACAAGTCTAGTTAATAAGACTGAACTATTGAGTGCATAGGTGGATACAGAACAGCCAGACATCACTGGGATCAGTCCTGGGGTTGAGATGATGTGTTGCATGGTGAAAGTTGTTTACCAAGGTATCACCCACCATTCAGAAAGGAGTGGGCTCCAAGAGGTGGTGGTGTACTACTGTATGTCAAGGAACACCAGACAGTAACCAGAAATGATGAGCTAAATGAAATTTGATCATCCAAATCTACTCAGTGTAAACTAATAGCATAAAACAAAAGGAAGCTGACAGTAGGTGTGTGTTATATAGGGCTGACTCAGCCTCACAAGGGGAAGTGGCAGACTCCATAGAGTCATCCAGAACACAAGCTCTCATTATGAGACAGTAGACTGGGTGACTCTTACCACACAAGCTGAGGGAGAAGAATTCCTTGACCTCCTTCAAGACTCATTCCTCCCAAAACACACGATGGAACCCACCACAGAAAAAACAATCTGAGTGCTCTCTTAACAAGTGAGGAGGCAATGGTGGCCAATGTCCATGTCGGAGTAAAACTAACTCTGGCACACACCCACTACATATACCTGACCCTTGCTTTATGTCAACTCACTATATCCACAAACTATTGAGAACATTTTAAGGGACACCATCATCCAATACCCGACCAAGCAGTCTGATCAGTGCATCACAACATGAGACCATATTCACAGTTGTCATGCCCGACCATTGGGATCCAAGTTTGTGTAGGGGGAGATTATTTAAGAAAGTGCTTCGGGCACTACGATGGGTCGGTATCCATTCCTCCGGGCAGAGCCACCAACATTTCCAAATCGGCTGTTGCCACATCCCAGATATTAAGTACCCCCAAAATATTACCATAAACAAACAAACAAACAATCACACACACACATATGCACGTGCATGCATGCACACATGTGTTTGTGAGGTTGTTTTGAAGGCTGTATTTTAGCCATTTGTTGGCCACACTAGGATGGCTAATGGTTGATACATATACCACAAGTGAGCTGTCACAACACGACGTGGTATATATGGATAGCCATGAATGCAGCATGCCGCTGTCTTTTAAACAGCACAGTGCTCTAGTTAGCCTTATTCAAGAAAAGGGAAAATTATATAAGACAAAGCATCTGACACCTGGAGCTGTTATAAGAGACAAAGCTTTGTTTGATTGTTGATGCACGGCAACACCCTCATGATCAGCCGGAATTATTTAACACTTGTAAATAACTGACAATCTTTCAATGTAGTTATGTATATGGAAAATAAGACTCAGTCGCCAACAAACTCATTTCCTATCAGGTTTGAATGCTGTATACAGTACTCTATTTTATCTCTATATATCAAAATTAAGAGGGTATTTTTTATGCATTGCAAATGCCATATAATGGGTACCCCCCTCCTGATGAATTATTCCAACAATCTCAATAGGAATCCCATCCACTGGGACTAACTTCGAGTCTGTAGGCGTCTCCGAATAACCACACACGACGGCGCTCCCAATCAGTCGGGTGGCTTAACGATTGTGAATACGACCTAGGATATCAGGGAGACTATCCTGCTTGACAAACTTACTCACTTTCCTTGAAATGGTAACAGACTACATAGACCAAGACTTACCAGTCACTGGTGTAGATTTGTTGTGATTGTAGAAATGCACCTCTGAACAAAACCATAACAAAATACATCTTTTATATCGTTTTAAAAAGCAATGGTTTTGCAGAATTGACTTGCTGGGACTGCCATAATATGTATGGCCTGACAGGCCGACCTTGCATTACCAACGCTATTGTGCCAACTCATGTGACCCGAAGCAGTTAGACCTCAATGTCACTAGCTATCTCAGCTCAAAGGAGGGGATAAGGGACTAGCAAGACTATGTTGGTCTTTTTGAAAATAAGTTTGACATTACTCTAAATTGTTCTTATTTCATCACTAAAGTAATTACCAGGATAAAATCCACCAATTACTTATAAAAAAAACACACACTTATTAATGGCGTCCTCTCTTGGACAACCCGTGTGCAAAACAAACTCATTTTTTTAATCCCTTGGTTCTCATTGGATGTCCCTTCAAAATGATAGAATCACCAGACAATGAAAACTCAGAATCTCAGAGTGCTCCCCCGGTTATATTAAGAATTACATTAATTGTAAGGGGGGATGATTATCCAGGTATAGGAAACATTCCAACTCGATTGTAGAGGGGGATGCACTCCCCTACCAGTGGATGCACCGTACAGTTGTGGTCTAAATTTTGCTCCTCGTGGTAAAACAAAGTCTTTGATCTAACTAACCCTGACTGTCAACTGATGTGGGTATGCCGTTTTATATAATTTGGGGACGAGAAAACTTTTGAGAATAAGTGTGTGAACATGGGTTTCTCTCGGGCACTTGACAAAGTCCCACATTTACAGGTAGCCTCTAAAATCCAGCCAAATTGTATCACAGGCAAAATTTTTAAGTGGATTAACAAGTGGTTCAAAGACTGGACACAAAGGGTGGTCATAAATGGAGTACAGGGTGGTCATAAATGCAGTACATTCTGAATGGAAAAAGGTTCTTAGTGGTGTAGCACAAGGCTCTATCCTTGGATCCACCCTGCTTGAGATCTACATAAATGACAGATGAAAATATATTGAGCCACATTGCCAAGTTTACAGATGACACTGTACAGTACTTGAGAAGGTAGTAAGTCAAGACGATGTTGCAACCAGAAGCCGTTCAAATGAGGGAATTATAAAGCAAACCTTCTAACACAAAGATAGATAAATGCTCCTTAATCTGTACAAATCTCATGTACCTCTCAGTCTGGATTACTGTACTGTACAGTAAAGACTCCAATAACGACAGTTCGACCAACGACGATTTATATTTAGGACCCAATTCAATTTACGTCATTATTTTATTCGAATTTACAACGAAACTATAATAAAAATAAAATAAAATTACATTTTCATATACAGTCATGCGCCGGTTAACGTCCTAGATACGTTCTTGAAAACGTGACGTTAACCGAAATGGACGTTGTCCGATCATCACATAAGCTGTGTATTTATACTTACGTGTATGTGGAATACTATATACGTACATACAGTATACACTTTTACTCTTAAATCACTACTGTAATGTGATACAGGTGATTAATTTTTATCTCTTGTGCAAAATACATGACATTTATATTTAAAGTATTCACTGTTTTACAAAGGAATCAACAGCGCTGAGCAGCAGATGGGGAGAAGGGAAGGGGAGGGTGTGGGGGGGAGGGCGGTTTGGGACAGGCCCGGGTCTACTTGTGATGTATATTTATCAGCTCTTAAGTGATAAGCCTCTCTATAAAAAGCCAGTGAGATGACCTGGGTGAATATAATTTACATTGCTGGGATTCTTGTAAGATGTTGATTTATTTAAATATAAACAACCTATAATTAGCACTAGACACAAAAATTTTAGTATTGTAATCAAATTAGTACATGTGCACTCTAGCTTTGCACTAAAGTCATTTACAGTATTTCTTTTACGTTTTAGTATGGTGTGTGCATGTAAATGATGAAAATAAATGAAGAAATTTATATAAATCTACCCAAAAATACAGTTGAAAAACTTTATACTGTTCAGTGATCCTGGAGTTAGCGATTTGCCTTCCATAAGATTCTTAACCCGGTTACTTGAGTTTTTCTGACCAACTTCAACATGTTTTACTTGCATTTGGCGGTCCACCAGCTATGATATTATTCGCCAATGCAGTATCCCGGTTTTAGGGGTTAAATTCCTTACTATTTTAGTAAATTTCAAGGGTATACTATTCATTAATTTTAAAAAGTTTAATATTAACTTTTTTTTAGTCATTTTAACAGTGTGAACATAATTGAAGGTAAAACTAGTTTCTGGCGTGCCATCCAACCTGTTAACACACTAGACAGGCGTTAGTCTCTCTCTGTTTTCAGTGGGTAACATCTTGCCCAGAGACTCTCTCTTCAACTAGCGGCTTTT